CGGCGTAACAATATCTTGCGACATCTGCTGCCAGGAGATTCACATAATTATAATAATTTAAAGGTGTGGACGGGACAAAAAAAAGATTTATCTTGTCCCGTCCAGCCCTGTCAATTATTGAAATTATCTCTACTTTTATAAAATATTTCTTGCGATTTTTTTTATTTAATGTATAGCCTAATAATAGAAGAATATATTAGACAATTTTGATGCAAAAATAATATACCTATAATAAATTACCTACAATTTTATTTATAAAAACAGTTTTGTGATTTGTCCCGTCCATCCGCTTGAAATGGCCGTTTTTTATCTATTGATACTATAGGGGCAACATTTTGAACAGCTTTTGTAATTTTATACAGGGCTCTTTTCAGAGCCAGTCAGTGGCGGCTGGTGGATTTTGGGTATACCAATATTTCAGTTATTAGACTTGGGACCCACACCAAATTTAAATTGAAGTTTGCGAAAAAAGTTAATTTTCCTGTCGCCTCACCCGCCTCCAGGCCCCCCTATTTAAGATAATTCAAATTAATTAATTTAATTAAAGTGGTGCAGGTTATAATCTACTATAATTTATACACAAATTTAAAATTTTATTTAAAAAATCCAAATATAACAGGTTTTATACCATTTTAAATATTTTTTTATTTTAATAAATTAAATAATAAAAATTTAAAATCGAATAAAATCTGTAATTATTGAATTTACAAATAAAATTTTAAATTTGTCGATAAATTATAGTAGATAATAAATTGCACAACTTTAATTTGAGTTATCTTAAATAGGGGGGCCTGGAGGCGGGTGAGGCGACAGGAAAAACTAACTTTTTTCGCAAACTTCAATTTAAATTCTGTTTGCGCCAAACTTGTCTATTTAATGTCATTAGCTGGCCATACACAGGCGTTATTTTGCGCGGTTTATCGTGGCGTGTTGGGATGTAGCGGTTAGTATGCACGAAAGAACGGCATGGCAAAAAAAGCGTCATGTTCCATACACTTGATAAAGTATTCAAATGATTTAGCAAGTGATTGCCCGTGGTATATCAGTTTCAAAGGAAAAATCGTATGTGAGTGGGCAAAAAGTGTCATTTATCGAGTTGTTTGAAACTGCATGTACTCATGTACAAATTTTCAACGTGAAATTTTGCCAAGCAAAGGTAAACCGTGACGCGGAATGTGGCGTGTGGACACTCCTCACTCCAGAGGAAAGCACGTCTGAAATCCCTTCCCGTTCTATCATTGCGCGCGGCGATACTCACTCACGTACATGATTTTCCATATGTTTTTGCAGATAACACGATAAACCGCGCGCAATAACGTCTGTGTATGGCCAGCTATTAGCCGGCCATACACAGACGTTATTGCGCGCGGTTTATCGTGTTATCTGCAAAAACATATGGAAAATCATGTACGTGAGTGAGTGTCGCCGCGCGCAATGATAGAACGGGAAGGGATTTCAGACGTGCTTTTCTCTGGAGTGTGGCGTGTCCACACGCCACATTCCGCGTCACGGTTTACCTTTGCTTGGCAAAATTTCACGTTGAAAATTTGTACATGATCACATGCAGTTTCAAACGACTCGATAAATGACACTTTTTGCCCACTCACATACGATTTTTCCTTTGAAACTGATATACCACGGGCAATCACTTGCTAAATCATTTGAATACTTTATTAAGTGTATGGAACATGACGCTTTTTTTGCCACGCCGTTCTTTCGTGCATGCAAACCGCTACATGCCAACACGCCACGATAAACCGCGCGAAATAACGTCTGTGTATGGCCAGCTATTAGCTGGCCATACACAGACGTTATTGCGCGCGGTTTATCGTGTTATCTGCAAAAACATATGGAAAATCATGTACGTGAATGAGTATCGCTGCGCGAAATGATAGAACGGGAAGGGATTTCAGACGTGCTTTTCTCTGGAGTGTGGCGTGTCCACACGCCACATTCCGCGTCACGGTTTACCTTTGCTTGGCAAAATTTCACGTTGAAAATTTGTACATGATCACATGCAGTTTCAAACGACTCGATAAATGACACTTTTTGTCCACTCACATACGATTTTTCCTTTGAAACTGATATACCACGGGCAATCACTTGCTAAATCATTTGAATACTTTATCAAGTGTATGGAACATGACGCTTTTTTTGCCATGCCGTTCTTTCGTGCATACTAACCGCTACATCCCAACACGCCACGATAAACCGCGTGAAATAACGCCTGTGTATGGCCAGCTATTATAATTATTATAAATTTGGTGTGGGTCCCATCAAATATAATACATATTATCTTTGGGTCCCATGTCTAATAACTAAAATATTGGTATACTCAAAATCCACCAGCCGCCACTGGAGCCAGTTTGCTATTTATTGGTTTAAAAATCGGTTCTTTTCAGGACCAAAATTTAATTACTAAAAAAAGATTAAGCTTTTAATGTAATTTCAAAATTACTGAACAGGGGATTAATTACATCACACGTTTATTTATGCTTATAAATGAAAGGCTTTGTTTGGCCTGTTTTGGTAGCTAAACTTGAGATATTTCTTAAATTTCACTTTAAACACATTTTCTTGCTTAAAATATGTCAAACAATGCCTATACTTGGGGTATCACACTTTTTTCTTGTTTATTTATGCTTGTAAATGTAAGAAAAGCCCCCTGGCCGGTTTTGGTAGCTGAACTTGAGATATTTCTTAAATTTCACTTTAACCACATTTTCTTGCTTAAAATATGTCAAACAATGCCTATACTTGGGGTATCACACTTTTTTCTTGCTTATTTATGCTTGTAAATGGAAGAAAAGCCCCCTGGCCTGCTTTGGTAGATGAACATAACCTAAAATATTACTTGAATTTCACTTAAAACACATTTTATTTCTTAAAGTATGCTGAAAAATGTCAAACAATGCATTTACTTGGGGTTTCACACTTTTTTCTTGCTTATTTTTGCTTGTAAATGGAAGAAAAGCCCCCTGGCCTGTTTTGGTAGCTGAACCGAAGATATTAAAAATATTACTTGAATTTCGCTAAAAACACATTTTCTTTTTTAAAATATACTTGAAAAATGTCGCACAATGCGTTTACTTGGGGTATCACACTTTTTTCTTCCTTATTTATGCTTGTAAATGGAAGAAAAGCCCCCTGGCCTGTTTTGGTAGCTGAACTTGAGATATTTCTTAAATTTCACTTAATACACATTTTCTTGCTTGAAATATGTCAAACAATGGCTATACTTGGGGTATCACACATTTTTCTTGCTTATTTATACTTGTAAATGAAAGAAAAGCCCCCTGGCCTGCTTTGGTAGCTGAACCAAAGATATTAAAAATATTACTTGAATTTGACTTAAAACACATTTTCTTTCTTAAAGTATGCTTAAAAAATGTCAAACAATGCATTTATTTGGGGTATCACACTTTTTTCTTCCTTATTTTTGCTTGTAAATGAAAGAAAAGCCCCCTGGCCTCTTTTAGTAGCTGAACTGAAGATATTAAAAATATTACTTGAATTTTACTTAAAACACATTTTCTTTCTTAAAGTATGCTTAAAAAATGTCAAACAATGCATTTATTTGGGGTATCACACTTTTTTCTTCCTTAATTTTGCTTGTAAATGAAAGAAAAGCCCCCTGGCCTGCTTTGGTAGCTGAACCGAAGATATTAAAAATATTACTTGAATTTCACTTAAAACACATTTTCTTTCTTAAAGTATGCTTAAAAAATGTCAAACAATGCATTTATTTGGGGTATCACACTTTTTTCTTGCTTATTGCTTGGAAATGAAAGAAAAGCCCCCTGGCCTGTTTTGGTAGCTGAACTGAAGATATTAAAAATAGTACTTTAATTTCACTTAAAGTATGCCTAAAAAATGTCAAACAATGCATTTACTTGGGGTATCACACTTTTTTATTGCTTATTTTTGCTTGGAAATGGAAGAAAAGCCCCCTGGCCTGTTTTGGTAGATGAACATAACCTAAAATATTACTTGAATTTCACTTAAAACACATTTTATTTCTTAAAGTATGCTGAAAAATGTCAAACAATGCATTTACTTGGGGTTTCACACTTTTTTCTTGCTTATTTTTGCTTGTAAATGGAAGAAAAGCCCCCTGGCCTGTTTTGGTAGCTGAACCGAAGATATTAAAAGTATTTCTTGAATTTCACTTAAAACACATTTTCTTTCATAAAATATACTTGAAAAATGTCAAACAATGCATTTACTTGAGGTATCACACTTTTTTCTTGTATATTTATGCTTATAAATGAAAGAAAAGCCCCCTGGCCTGTTTTGGTAGCTGAACTGAAGATATTAAAAATATTACTTGAATTTTACTTTTTCTTTCTTAAAATATACTTGAAAAATGTCAAACAATGCATTTACTTGAGGTATCACACTTTTTTCTTGTTTATTTATGCTTGTAAATGAAAGAAAAGCCCCCTGGCCTGTTTTGGTAGCTGAACTAGAGATATTTCTTAAATTTCACTTTAAACATTTTCTTGCTTGAAATATGTCAAACAATGCCTATACTTGGGGTATCACACTTTTTTCTTGCTTAATTATGCTTGTAAATGGAAGAAAAGCCCCCTGGCCTGTTTTGGTAGCTGAACCGAAGATATTAAAAATATGACTTGAATTTCACTTAAAACACATTTTCTTTCTTAAAATTTGCTTGAAAAATGTCGCACAATGCGTTTACTTGGGGTATCACACTTTTTTCTTACTTATTTATGCTTGTAAAAGTAGAAAAATCCCTTGGCCTGTTTTGGAGGTTAAACATTTGTTGTTACTGTTTTTCAGGATTAGTTGTGGTTTATTACCTAAATTATAACTATTAAAATTACACTTAGGACGCTTTTTCCTCTTTAAAATATGTAAAACAATGCTTTATAACCCATTTTAACCTATTAAATTTGAAATAAAATGACATTTCAAATGCGCATGCGTGGTCGGTTTTGGTAGCTGGCCTGCTTTGGTAGCTAACATTACGCCAATGATTTTTAGTATGCGGGAAACGGAAAAGACCTTGTTCTGTGTATTGTGGAACAGACCTTGTTGTGTGGATTGTGATTTTAATATACAACAAATTAAATTGCGACGTTGCCACAAATAATTCGATTTTGATCTTGATCAACAAATTTGAACTTTTGGACATACGAGGTGCTACGAATTGTATGGTATCCACATTGTGCATTGTGCAACTATTCTTAATTTATTCTGACAAAATGTATGATTGCAACCAGAAAAACAAACAAAGAGGATATAGATTCTAACCCTAAATTGTAACCGTTTGGTAGAGTTTACGTTTAGTGTAGCATTTTACATATTAATGTTTTTATTAAAGTGAATGCAGTATATTTATAAACTTAAACATGCCGGGATGGTATTACGATAAAAAAGAACTAAAAAACACGCCGTCAGCTCAAGATGGTATTGACTACCAAACAGAAATGCGCTACCGCAAAGAAGGGGCCCGTTTCATTATTGACACCGGCATCAAAATGGACTTGGGATACAGCACGTCAGCTACGGGTGTCGTATATTTTCACAGGTTTTACATGTTCCACTCCTTCAAGCAGTTCCCTCGATACGTAACTGCCTGTTGCTGTTTGTTTTTGGCTGGCAAAGTAGAGGAGACTCCTAAGAAATGCAAAGATATAATTAAGACTGCCAGAGGGCTGCTGACTGACCAAAAATTCAATACATTTGGAGATGATCCCAAAGAAGAAGTTATGACTTTGGAGAGAATATTATTGCAAACCATCAAGTTTGATTTGCAAGTGGAACATCCCTATGCCTACCTGTTAAAATACGCAAAATGCCTGAAGGGGGACAAAGTCAAACTGAACAAGATGGTGCAGATGGCTTGGACTTTTGTTAACGATAGTTTATGTACCACTTTGGCTCTGCAATGGGAGCCTGAAATCATAGCTGTTGCTTTGATGTATTTGGCAGGAAAATTGAGTCAATTTGATGTTATTGATTGGACTGGAAGGACTGCAAAGCATTTGAGGTGGTGGGAAATGTTTGTTGAGGATGTTACAATGGATCTGTTGGAAGATATTTGCCATCAGGTACGTTCATTTAATTTTTAACTGCTTTTTAAATACACTGTTTGTTTAAATTTGGTCATATCTGAACAAAATACCTACCAATTTTTATTACAAAAAAATGTTTTATTAAAATAAGATTTTGCCACTTTCCTTTTGCTTGTTTTTTTGCTGTGAATGATTCTTACATATTTTCATTTTCAAAATGTTTTTGTATTAAATAAATTTTATATAATATAATTTTATTATTATTTTGTTAAATTTGTTGTATTTTTATGTTTTTATTATTGATTTTTACAATTTTATGCATTTAATTTTTTATATCTTTTTTAGGTCTTGGATCTTTATTCCCAAACTCCAAGCCAATCAAATGAAAGCCCGCCCCAAAACCAACCTCGCTTAAACCCACCCCCCAGCAGCAGCGTCGCACGCCCCTCCAACGGCCAAAATAACCCCGTATCTCCGGATCAACCGCCCCCAATGCATAGTAGCATTCCACCACCATCAGACGTGCCAACATACATCTACGGTACATTTACCGGCGCGCCGCCCCCAGTGCCCGGTTTTCCAGGGTTTTCGGCTCCCCCGATGTCTGCTCCACCTGTGCCCCCTCACATGGCAGCGCCGCCACCGGGACCGCCTCCAAACATAGCCGCGCCGCCCCCAGTTTTTCCGTTCGTCAATCACCCGCCGCCGTTTGCACCACCCGGCGTTCCTCCAGGTGCTAATTATTATCAGCCACCTAACCCGCCACACAGACAGTTTTATCCCCCTCCATAATAGTCTTAGGATGTGTTTTTGTAGACTGCACATGTTTTATTTGGCCCAAATAATTTGGGTATAAAAGAAAAAAGAAGCTTTGCTTTTTAATATTTTTAAAGTTTTATTACCCTTATTATAAATATAAATTATATACCTAACAGTTTTTTTATTCTTATTTTTATAACTGTCTACATTGAGTAAAACAAACTAATTTAGTGGAAATTATAATTTTGGTTATGTTATACATATGTTTATAAATTTTGAAATGTGAAATACCTATAAGTTAAAAATTAAATAACTTTACCTTTAATGAAATATAGGTGACTTTAGAGCATTCCCAGCATGGAAATATACATGTATTTTTGGATAATATTTGGTTTGTCCTTTCAAAAAGAAGTGTAGAAATTAATATAAAATAATAAAAAATTATTTTTAAGTTTTGTGTGAACACTTAAATGTTGTCCAATGGTGAATGGGTTTTTCACTAAAGTCACTAAATGTTAATAATACTCCAAAATATATTTTAGCCAGTTAATCTTTTCCTCCTCTGTAGCGAATATTCGCATTTCGCAACTCCTATTTCCTATAGATGCGAACTATTTTAGGGACAATGTTTTCTCACTAGGTTATATTTTTCATGCTATTTTAGGTACTAAAATACTATAAAGGTAAAATAAGAAACATTAATTAATGTATCTCAAAAAAAAAAAAAAAAAACTTCAAACACTTATTTAAACAGTCCGAATAAAACTCAAAAAAACAAACACTATGATACAAACGAAATAAACATAAATGGCGTAGGTATGATAAGCAATTGCATGCGAAACCCTTGCGCATCTTGCGAAATTATTGCGATTTTCGCAAAATATTGGATAAATTTCAAGATTCCCGCCCCCTAGATTCAAATCTTGCGAATTCTGTCGAAACGCGTTTCCCGCCAAATCAAATGGACCAATGAGAGCATTTTTCGCATCTATATGAAACGGAGATTAGGAATTACTTTATCAAAATACCATATTGTTTTTAAAATTTGATTTTGTTTAGAATTTTCTGTCATCTTTGCCATTGTTTAGTATAAAATAAAATGTATAATTCTGACAATTAATTAATGCTAAAGTATTTAAATTTAAGGCATTGGATAGGAATACCAATGTTATATATTAAAAATACCAAAGTATATTGACATACCAACATAATCAAATATGTCAAATTTCGAATACAAAAAAACTTATAAGATCCAGTGTTTATGGTAGGGTTGCCACTAAGAAGATTATGTATAGAAGAATATAATCTTCTTAATTGCCTCTTCTCCTTTTTTAAAAAGGACTGTGAGAAAGCGCCGTATGGGCCATACGGCGCTTTCTCACAGTCCTTTTTAAAATACGGTATGGCATACCTTTTTCTAAATTTTATTGAGATTTTGCTTTATCGCGACGTGGTTATTTTTTGTATTTGTTTTCGGTTTTGCATTTTGTGTAGTCAAAGTCTACTCGCCACTGCACTTAAAATCCTTATTTAGAAAACTCCGTTTAATCGCAAATAATAGTTTAACCTCTATTTTAAACCATTTTGATCTTAAACATTATAACATTGCCTGTGGATCATTTTCTAGCGATTTTTTTTCCTGTCCGATCGACCGGTCCACCCCACCGCATGACCAGATATTTTGCAATGTCCTTTTTTAACTTAAAAAAAGGTTGCAAACCTATTATAGGATTTTTATGAAAGACATCCGGCAACACTGTATAGACTATAGCATATGCTATAATAGCATATGCTATAGTCTATACAGTGTTGCCGGATGTCTTTCATAAAAATCCCCGGTCAAAAATTACAAAATACCCGATTTTACCCGCAATATATTTAAAAATTCAATTCAACTTTCTTTATTTTAATTTTTTAAGAATATATGTTTTTATAAAAGGATTAAACACAATTTCCTCATCATTTAAAGTTTGGGTTTTCTGACAGGAACTGCTAAAAAATACATCTGTCAACCATGTTAACTTAAAATGGCTGTAGATGCTTTGTTTCCATAACAATCGTTTTAGATGTCTCTTAAATGGGCTTGAAACGTACAAGCGTTGCCAAATTTTTTAAACTTAAATGCTTAATAACTTAATAACTGTTGCAATTTTTTTATTCTTAAAATATCCTCTACAGCATGCTGGTATGCAGTAGGTGCGCCATTTCAGGGATACCCTGTATATAAATATATTTATATATATATATTTTCTTAATAAAATAAAATTATTAAAAAATATATTCTTCAGCTCTGTTTGCAAAAATTATTTAATTAAATATTTTGACCGAAATTTGGTAAATACCCGCTTAAATATTTTACCCGCAAGCATGACAAAAATACCCGATTTTCGGGTAAAATACCCGCAAACGGCAACATTGAGTCTATATATAGGATAGACTATAGACAGTGTTGCCACTCGTTCATTTTATTTCGTACTAGGTGGCTCCGTCATTTCGTACTAGATTGTACTAAATGCTATATGGGTGAAATTGACCACAGATGGCAGCACTAATAATTCATATATTTGGTTTTGTGTTACGAATATTTGTATTACTGCACTTTTAATTAAATAAATAACACATATATAAAAAAAACGTATTTAAAAAAAATAAACTATAAGAGAGACAACTAATAGTATATTATTATACGAGAGATAATGCAGTCTATTATTCACGAGGGTCTCGAGTCGCCAGACGAGAGACCTAAATCATCCGAGTGAATATTGCGCATAATCTCGAGTGTAATACTAAACTGTATCTACTCTAATAAGTAAATAATTAAATGATTTTCAAAATTAAATAAATAAAATCTGACATCTGTCAAATGGTTAAACTCACTTGTTACCAATTTTAAATGTCATTATAGTCGCCTTCTCCCAATTTAAAACCCGATTGGTTAAAATCACAGTGAATATTGAAATCCCAAAATTATGCAATAGGAGTAGATAAAGGCATTTATGTTGATTGAGAACTTCTAAAAAACTGCAAGTAGCAGACTGCAACGCTGGCTGTGAGATATAAAAAGCCCATGAAAAGAAGGTTGCTGAGCACCCATTGTGATTGAACATTTTTATGCTGCCATCTGTGGGCAATTTTACTAACATGTCACTGACATGAAGCTAGTCAGTTGTTTGCACATATCTAAATATGTGGTTGTTTGCATTCATAGAAAACCCCGAAGGGTTTGCATTGTTGCCAAAATGATTAAAAATTATTTTGGTTTTAATTCCGTTTAAACCACACATTTGTGGTTTAAACCAATTTTGTTGTGAGAATATATTCAACTATAAAAAGTACTAGATTTTGCTAAAGCGTACTAACGTACTAAAAAATCAATTTTAGGACTAGATAAAGTACTAACAGTGGCAACACTGACTATAGACCACAAAACTAGAACCTTCTAGTTTTGTGCTATAGACTAGTCTTTGGTAACGTCCACCAGTGTTGCCAGTTGAAATTATCGAATTGGGTTAATAAAATTATCGAATTTTCGGAAAATTATGTTACAATAATTGTAAAAATTATGTTATAATAATTATTATAATTTAATCATAAAAAAGTGAAAGAAGCAGGGTTGAAAATATTATCGATTTTTTGGAAAATTATAAAATTTGTTAAAAATACTATAAAGCTCTATAGTTCAGAAAGTAGCGGTAGCGGTAATGGCGGCCCCTCGCATAAACACTAAACTTACAGGGCGAGGCTGTACAGCCAATCACATGGCAGTTTTTAGTCAACTAAAAACTGCCATGTGATTGGCTGGAGTAGCGGTTGAGGTAAGAAAAGATGAAAGATGGTCATCTCTTGCCGCTACGTTCTTGCCTCTACTTCCCTTACCGCTACCTCTGAAAACTATAAATTGTTTCATATAATATTCAATGCCCAACTTGGCTACCGCTACCGCTGCCTCTACCGTTACCTTTAGAACTATAAATACCGTACGGGAATCTATAAACAGCACTACGGTATTGTTGATCTTTTACGGCAGGAAGGAAGGAAATCTATAAATCAGGCTTTATGCTGGATAGAATTAAGTTAATTTTGTCCAGATACTTGGATTAAAAATTATGTTACAATTATCGATTATGTTACATATAATTTTCAAGCTTTGTTTTTAGAAAAATTTATGTTAAAATTCGATAATTATGTTACAAGTGGCAACACTGACGTCCACAATGTGTGGACTGTGCCACAATCCACACATTGTGGTAACGTCCATAAAATTAAAAAAAAAAATTTCTTAAATCCTTATATCCTATATCCTCTTTATTTCAACATTTATTTAAAGAGAACATTCTTTGTTTATTCTTTCATTCAAATTCATAAAAACAATATTTACCAGCTTTTAAAATTGTAATGCCCTATCTTCATTTTGCACGGTCATTGGTTTTAATCATTCTCTATGGTTCTTCAAGTTTCTTAAAATCTCACTAGGGTACCTAGCGTGTCAAAAATTGTTTGTTGAGTCAACAATGTTGACAGAAATGTCAAAGTTCTAAAGCGAAATAAAAACAAGAAAATGCTTCTACTAGCGCTTTTTTTTGTGGTGAAAACCACTTCTGCTCTTGAATTTTTCTCCAACACATTCGCTTTGGCAGATCAATGCAGCGGTGTTTGTCAGAATTTGAATTTACCAAGACTTGAACTGGTAAGTTTTTAAACGATTTCTTGAATGATTTTTTTATTTTTTGTGATTTTAGGAGAATTATGAGCAGGTTGTTTGTCAGAGGGGATGCCGCTTTTTTAACATACTCAAGTTTAAAGACGAATTAAACATTAACAGCACCAAAAAAGAATGTCATTTATGTAAGTATATTTTACCACATAGGTACTGTCTAATACTGACATAAAAACTTGATAGCCTGTACTGAATCTTATCTGGAAAAAAAGGAAAATGATGTTTGTCAAATTGGTTGTGATGAAATGTCCAGAAGAAGACTAGTAGAGATGACAAACTTCCTGATATTAACACAAGATGATGATAACAATGCCATTGTATTAGCTGAACCAGACTTGGAGATTCTTGAATCTGAAATGTCCGATCCAAGCATAAAAAGCCAATTGGAAATAGGCTTTAATATTGATTACAAAATCCCTGAAACTAACATAAGAACGATGCCCATACGTTTATCTGAAACTGAAATAGTCAAAACAGAAAGCAGCGACTGGTTGGATTGTGCTTCCAGAAAATTAGGTATACCATCCTGGATGCTGTTTATAGCAATTTTGTCCGCAATTTTTAGCCTCTTATGTCTATACCCCAAACCGGCTAAAGATGAGCCTATAGTTGATGTGGACATCCCAGATATTAAGTTAATATTGGATCCAGAGATTATTATTGAGAAAAGCGATGTTGAGGTGTGTTTTCAGCTACCTCCTAAGTATTCAGAAAAAGATGAAAATGCCTAAGTATTGTTTGTGCACATTAATTAATGTAAGTGAGAATTAGTGTTTTACAGCTGTTATTTAAGCATTTGTCAATGTTTTTATGTGAGAAACTTGATCATTTAATTTTTTGTAAAAAAACAGTTTGGACAAAATAATGGTGTAGTTTTTTTGTCTTACATTTACTGAATTAAGACATTATATTCTCAAAAACAATGGACAGTAAGCTAGTAGTTGTTGTACTAGTTGAATAATGAAAATATTGTTACACTACTTTAACAATTTTCAAGGAAATTTTAAGATTAAACTTAAGCTAAGCTTAACTTTACTTTATCTTGAGTTTAAACTAAAGTTTAGCTTTAGCCTAAACTTAAACCCAAGCTTAAGCCTAAATTTAAGCTTAAACTTAACTTTGATTTGTTTGTGGGACAAAATAAAATGTGGAACTCATGGATAATGGTCGATTCTGAACTCGCATTCTTGCGACAAGAATTTTGCCACACTCGCGCGACAAACAAATGCTCGTTAAAATTGACCATTTTGCCTACTTAATGCACAATATGCTTTTGCCTTAAAGTAGGGTTGCCAGATCTCTGGGTTTGACCGGAAGTCTGCGGGTTTTTGGTGGCTGGTCCGGGTTTACAATAAAATCTCCGGGTTTCGCAATAAAATCTACGCATTCTCAAAATAAGTAATCATTTCTATTGACCTGTTTGAAGCTTTTACTTTTTACATTTTTCATTGCTGTTTTTTTTTATAAGTAAAAATTAATGAATGAATGAATTAATCCGTGGAGAATTCTTGAGACATTTCTTCCTACCATGATAATATTCATTTGTTGAAAAGAAAATGACAAAACAAAAATGTTTTATATCAAAAAATGTTTGATGCAAAATGTTAAGAAAAAACAATATTGCAAATTAACCATAAAAACATCTGTGGAACTGTGTGGATTGTCACAAAATAAAAAATATTGATTTATTTTAATTAATTTATTATACATGTATTTTATTCAAATATTTATATTTCAAATATATGAGTTTAATTATATAATTTGTTAATTTTTTTTTATATACATCATTAACATACATTTTTTTATAAACCAAAACATCATATAGAAACATAGTATTTAAGTTGTAAATGGGCCAAACACAGCCAAGCAAAAGAAATTTCAGATTATGGCAGACATAGTATATGCATTTCAATAAAAATATACTTCAATCTTGCAATAATCATCAAACACATAGCTCGTGTATGTTCTAAACCACGCATTTTTGAAATATAGAGATCAGATAAAATAAAGCTGTTATAATGCAAGTTTTGCTTTTAAACCTTACATCACCCAACAGTCCGAATCACTACTGGTGGAGTTTCCTATTGTTACCTGTATATCTGGCAACCCTACATTGAAGACATTCCAAAATAGGTTTTTTTAAGCAGGAAATGTTTCTAGTATTCGCAAGTACCTAACAAACGTCCAAAATAAGTCAATTTGTTATCACTGCATCTTAAACCGTCTTAAATCCCAATTATTTTGTCTATCTAGCAGAACTTTGTTTAGTACTGTTAATATTAGCTTAATATGTGTAAATATTTGTTTTTCTTTAGCAATGTTTGCTTCTTAATGTGAAAAGGGATTTATTTAATCAATGTGAAATTATTGATCTAGTCATAGTCATATAATTTAAATAAAATTATTTATTATTATTGTAGACTGTAGTTATAAGGTTTAATTATATATTTAACAATTAAAAAGAAGTTTTATTATATTTTACTTATAAAATTAATAATCGGCCGCCGTGTTTGCCAAATAGTCTCTCCTTCCAATATTTGAGGCCTGTTTGTTTTGAAGGGCTTCCAATTTTGGACAGTCGGTAATTCTGTGACCCAGACCTCCACAGTAACTGCAACCCCTTTCATCTAAAAAATAAAACAAATAAAAATAATTTTAAAAGTTATAATTTTAATAGTTTTACCTCCAAGTTCAAGATATTTTTCGTTTTCAGAACAAAGTTCAGCCAAGAATGTGGGTACCTTCTGTTTAGCCTCCATAAGCAAGTGTTTAAGATCCAACAATACTGATTCGTCATTTGATTTGTTAATAAATGTTGTGGCTAGACCCCTTTTTTCTGATCTACCAGTACGACCAATTCTGTGGACTAAAAAACAAATAAAAACTTAGTATCTTAGATTTAAGAGTAGAAAGATTGAGCTTTGTCTCTATTCTTTGCTTAAAAATTTAACAAACTAAATTTTAGATAAAGTGTACAAATTTAATTGGTGTTTTGTTATAAATATCAAGTAGAATTTTTTTCTTACCATAATTCTCTACATCATCTGGCATATCATAATTAATTACATGCTGAACCTCAGCAAAATCTAAACCTTTTGAAGCGACATCTGTAGCAACTAGAACGTCTTTTTCCGTCTTTCTAAATGCTTCGACTGACCGCGATCTTTCTTCCTGGTCTGAAAACAAAAATTTAGTTTGTAAATTAATAACAGTCTTACTGACTTACCTTTTCCTCCATGAATAGCAACAGCCTCCACGCCTTTAAGCAGCAAATACTCGTGTATGGCGTCTACGTCTTGTTTTTTCTCGGCGAAAATAAGCACCGGGGGCGGTGTTTTTTGCAGGCATTCCAACAAATAAACAATTTTGGCTTCCTGCTTAACATACTCTACTTCCTGTGTCACGTTCATAGAGGCAGCACCTGCCCTACCGACATTAATCGTTACCGGTTTTACCAGGGCCGATCTGGCGAAGTTTTGGATCTTTTTGGGCATAGTGGCGGAGAAGAGAAGAGTTTGTCTTTGCCCCTAAGTAAAAATACAGTTATTATGATTTTTATATCTAGTTATTGTAGGTAGCTTACATTAAAATAGGAGAAAATGGTTCTAACGTCCTCTTCAAAACCTAAGTCAATCATTCTGTCAGCTTCATCCATGCACAAGTATCTGCATACTGATAATTTTACTATTTTCTTTTCCAACATGTCCATCAATCTGCCAGGAGTTGCTACCATAATGTGAACACCTCTGGAAGATTTTTTTAGTTTTATATTTCCCTTTTGTATATGACCGATTATGTAGAAACCAATTGAAGTATTGGTTGGTATCAATGGGTCTGAATTGGGCCTACTGGATTTAATTGGGCGCGATATAAAACTGAAATTGGGTTATTGGGTATTTTCCATGATGGAAAAGTCCAATTAGGATTCTACCTAATGTTTTTTATTGGTTTCGATTGGATAAAGCTACCCATGGGTAATTTCCAATTAAATTCAATTGGGCATTTCCAGTGTAAGATTCGAAAAAGGAATTAATCTGCTAATACTTTAAAATATGGAAAAATCCAATTAGGATTCTACTGTTTTTTAGCGGTTTCGATTGGATAAAGCTATCTATAGGTAATTTCCAATTGAATTCAATTGGGCATTCCCAGTGTAAGATTCTAAAAATCTGCTAATTGGTTATTCCCAATACAATACAAATATCGCAAGAGGGCCCTCGTGTAGCTGCGCAAAACCAACGAGGTTGAGACGCCATCATAAAGAAAAAACAACACAAACAAGTCTTAAGACGCCATTTATTAGAGTTTTTTTTTATTAGTCGATTTCTGTTTTAAGTGATATTAGTGTACTTATATCTTAAAAAAATGTTTATATGTGTAAGGTTTAGGGACGATGGCGTGAGAATGGTGGTTACAGCGGACAAAATAAAAAAAAATTGACATAAATAATATTAATTTCGACCATGCCTACAAACATCCTTTGCAAGAAAGACAAAAAATGATTATAACTGATTAATTTTATTTATTTTTTATTACTTTTTTTGTGTTAGTAAGTAATATGTATCAATACATATCTCACTAACTCAAAAAAATAATAAAGAAATAAAGTTACCTTCTCAGTTATAATAATTTTTTTCTCTTCTGTGAAAAATAAATTCTGGTTTTTACCCGGTTGTTCTTCTGGGATCTTAATTATTTTTGAATGAAAAATCAACTGGTATTTTTATTTCCAAATTAAAAAAAAATAAATTGCTATGAATTACCAATTCATTCCATGTGCATTTCTATTGGGATTAGCCAATAGAGACAAGCATAGGCATGGATTGGTATTTTCCAATCCAAGCCGCTGACTTCATTGGAACTTACCAATAGGAATGCAACTGGAATGAATTGGTGATTCATAGCGCCAAAACACATTTTAAACCAATTACTTATTTTTTATTGGATTCTATTGGTCATTTACAATAGGGTTATTAAACATTGTATTTGTGCAATTTTTACCTTTGTATTGTTTCAATAGCCTCTGTAACTGGCACACCTCCTATAGCCAAACAACTCCTTATTTCTGGCATCCTGTGTTTTTTTAAGGTATTACAAAAATGCTGAATAATATCGTAGGTCTGCTTGGCCAATTCTCTGGATGGACAGATTATTAGACCATAAGGGCCTTCGTTTTTAATAAACGGCATTTTGATCTCCTGCTCCAGACAAAACATTATTAAAGGCAGCACGAAAACCAACGTTTTTCCTGATCCGGTAAAAGCGATGCCGATTATGTCTCTTCCGGATAAAACTGTCGGTATGCCTTGGATTTGTATCGGCGTCGGTTTTTTTATGTGTTTTTCTTTTAATCCGGCTAAAATGCCTTCGTGCAGCTTCATTTCTTTGAAGGTTTCTAAAGGGGGTGGAATTTCCTCACCCTCAACCAAAATTCTTAGATCATCTCTAATCTTGTCATGTCTGGATGGTGGTAATTGTAAAATATATCTTGGTAAAGTCCAGCTAAACAAAAAATACATAGCAAAATTTAACTAAAATAAGGAAAAAACTAAGAAGTTACCTTGTCTTGATAGGATCACTGTATTGAATACCTTTTGCCAATTCTGAAACACCCATCAAAGCTTTTTTCTCTGCTACAATTTCCAAAATTTCCTCCTCTTTCCTTAATTGTCTTTCAACAGCACTCACTTTTTTAGCTAAAACAACAATTAATATAAATAATGCTAAAAACAATTTATGAATTGATGTATACAGGATGTTTCAAAATTCAACAGTAATATAAATATTCATAGACAAAGAATGGGCCGTTAGAAACTTGACAAGAAACGGCCCGTTTCTTGTCAAGAGGTGTTAACATTTGTAGCCTTAAATGTTTCTGCTGCCATAAAAAGTTTTTCTTAAAGAAAAGTTCTTTTTTTTCGTCGACAATACAATATTCCTCAAAAAAATAAATCAGTATTAAATTTTTACAACAATTTGACTGTTACAATATAATAAATCCAATATACATATATATATTGTATATATATGTATATATTATGATAAAATTGCATTTTTATTTCTTTTAATTTTAACAAAATTAGCATTCAAAAAACGTGATACGGTCGACGGAGTGGTATTACCACAAAACTACTTTTGTGCCCAGTAAGCACAAGCTAGCCGGCCCGCATACGACCCAAATACGTTTTGCCGAATCGGCCGCGTGCGGCCCGACACATGTATTTGTTCCAGTGTGTAGACCGGGCATGTCCGCCTGGCCAACTGTCGGGCATATCTGCCTGGCCGAATGTCGGCTATGTTTACTCGGCCGAGTGTCGGCTGTGTATAGTTGGCCGAGTGCCGGCCACAACAGCCTTGCCATTCAAAAAAAGACTACAGACGTCCTGGATAGGTATATCTTATAGGTTTAACACACTCGAATATAGCTATAGCTAGCCATTATTCGTTACTGAGGATGGAGATGGGGACTCCAAACCATTAATATTCAGCTATGTCATTACAGACGCACACTTCCAACTAAATATTGCAACCCATCGCTATTTATAGTTAGCTCGCTTGCGTAAGCAGCCGTGAGATATATCTCTTACGCCGCGGAAGGCCGTATTCCGGCCGTAAGCGGCCCGGCTAGGGCAAGCCGAACGATTTTGCAGCGGCATGCCGTATTCTGGCCGACTTCGGTTAGAACATGGCCAAACGGTACAGGGCTAACATAACGCGGGCCATAAGCGGGACGACTGGGGGCAAGCCGAACCGCCGGTCAACCGCCTATACCGAGCGAAGGCCGACTGTTTGCCGAGTCTTTGGTGCTTACTGGGTGGGTATTAGGGTGCTTCAAAAATTAAATTTTTTTTTTCGCTCTTACCCTCTCAAATGTTTCTATTAATTATAAAAAAAAATTCTCACCAAATATGGGCGTTCCAGCACAACTCTAAGAGGTTGCTGTTTTTATTTTAGTTTCCCATTTAATTAACATGGGAAAAACTAATTTTATGTTTGGAATTTTATACCACTGTATCAAAGTAACTTATGGTAATGATCACTGCAGTTTCTTATATAAAATGTAACGCTCTACAAAAAAGGTCTCCTATTATTTTTTGTTAAATTGATTTCTTCTAGAGTTATTCGAGGTCAAAGTTTGATTTACATCAAATTTTCTGGTTTTTTTTAATTTTATGGTACAATTAGCAAAGGGGGGGTGAAAGGGGGCAAAACAAGGGGTACCCAAAAAATTTTGTAAAAAAAAATATTTTTTTAGATTGTTTTTTTCCGTTTTTAAATTATTTTTAAATATATTGACTCATCACGCTTTTAATCGAAAATAATTATTCTGAGCCTGTAGAGCAAGAAAAAGGATGGTACAATTTATTATGCTCATTTTTTGGGTAACCCATTTTGCCCCCCCTGCCTTGTTTTGCCCCCTTTCACCTCCTGTCTGCTAATTGTACCAGAAAATTTGATACTAATCAAACTTTGACCTCGAATAACTCTAGAAGAAATCAATTTATCAAAAAATAATAAGAGACCTTTTTTGTAGAGCGTTACATTTTATATAAGAAACTGCAATGATCATTGCCCTAAGTTACTGTGATACAGAGGTATAAAATTCCAAACATAAAATTATTTTTTCCCATGTTAATTAAATGGGAAACTAAAATAAAAACAGCGACCTTAGAGTTGAGCTGGAACGCCCATATTTGGTGAGGATTTTTTTTATATTAAATAGAAACATTTGAGAGGGTAAGACCGAAAAAAATTATTTTTTGAAACACCCTAGTGGGTATTACATACAAATATATGTATTTTAATCGCCCCTTATTAAAAACTTTTTCTGAGCTTAACTAAATTATTTGTAAAATAGTCTATGCTGCTTAAAAAGGTAATCATTATTTGGAAAACCTTGCAATCCTTTTAAAAAAGTTTCAAATGACAATCAACTTTTTGAGCACTATTAAAATATTTTACAATTGTAATTAAGTAATTTTGTTAAACCCAGAAACAGTTTATGGTACTTGGTTCCTGTACATTTTGGTACTTAGGACCTAAATAGGTCATAATTATTATAATAAGTGAAGAAAATTAAGTCACCAATCTGAGTTTTGAGTTTGGTCCCTATTATTGTTTATGAACTAAAATATAGATTATGATTAAGAAAAGTGACCCAACTTAAAACTCAAGTTTTGATCAGATTGGCCATTTGGCGGTTCCTTATTTTCATGTTTTATTACTAGAGACTGGACTTTTGGAACTTGAAAAAAACTCCTAAATAGATAAAAACACAATTTTAAATAATAACCGCGTTTATTATTAAAAATTTATATAAATAATTTAAATTAATAAAGAAACAATTTAACAAAATATCAATGCATTTTTTGTAAAAGGAGATAAAACGTTGGCGCCGTTGCTCTAAACATAGTATGGCACCATAGCACCAATCACAAAGAAACAAATATAGTTTTAATTTACTTTTAAATCTATAAGGTGGTCATTGGAGCACTTAGGTTGGAACAAAGCTTTTAAAAGCAATTGCCTAGAATCCAGTCTCTAATTATTACTTAATGGATATACCAAAAATATTCTTGTAATATTAATTAAATAATAATGCTTTATTGAACTAAAACCAAGTTCAAGGGCTATTGACCATAGTCCTTCAGCCGATAATATTAATTATAAATTTAAATTAAACAAAAATTTCCTAAATAATTATTTATATCATTTTATAATTGGGCAAAATGGTTAAATATTTTGAGCAGGTATTGTAATATTAATCATAAATTTATAGATTTAATGTTTTAAAACATTAAAAACGTTTCCAAAATGTTTGTACAACAACCTGTTTATAAATTTAAAAAAAATACATTAAATTCTAGAAAACACTAACCCTCTGCAATTTTCTTGAGTTCTGTGTGTTGATCCAAAAGAGAAACATTATTTTTTCTTCCCCATAATTCATCATCATCTTCATCTTCATTGGTTTCATTTTCACTGGATGATTTTGCTTTATTCTGTTCTGCTTCTTTTAACTAAAATTATAGCAATTACCAAACTTGAAAGTTAACATGAGCAAAATTTCTTACCTGTCCAATTCTGCCCAATTTCATTAGCTGTTGTTTCTTTCTTTCCTTTACTGGCACGTAAGGCACATAATTATCGTCATCTGAGTCAGATTGACTCTTACTTTCTTCGTCATTTCGTCTATACCTCTAAATATGGATTAGATTAATCAATGAAACATTATTTCAATTGGTATTTACTTACTTTTTTAACAGGCTCTTCCATTTTAAAATATTTATTTTTCACACATTCTTATTATTTTTTTCAAATAGTTTGTTTAAAATGTCAAATTGACGTTTAAAAATAGGTTAGTCTTCTTCTTCTACTCTAACAGCACCAAGATACATACAACAACAATCAGAGAAATACGTTCCTAATAGGAACTTCCTATAACAAAATATTTAATATACCTTTAAAAATAATTTATTTTCGAAATAAGCGCTATAATTTATAAAATAAACTTATAAATAGTGGTAAAAGCTAATTTTAATTTTTTGAAAATTAAAAGATAAATTGTTTTCTATGGTTTGTTTTGTCAATGGTATGTGACAGGTGATTGAAAATAAAGCGAGTCGGTCATAAATTTATTATTTAAATAAATCCCATGATCTCGTAATAGAGGGTTATCTGTAATCTATTATCGACACATTTCCATTTTTGCAAAGAAAACTTCAGGATATTAGATCACTCGTAAAAGTAATTGCGTTTATACAAGGTAAATGGTGAAATCTACTGCAAAAGTAAATAAAGGCCAGGCCCGTTGTTTTAAGTATGATTTTCTTGAGAAATAGATAGTAAATAAGCAAAATAAACGGCCCAGAAAGGTATCTTTTGTTGGAGAGATGTGAACATAACAATTTTGGTGTGTACGTTAAATGAACCTAAGGATACCAAATGAGGACGAAAAACTTTTTGGTTTTTGTATGTAGCATGGTACTAGTTAGTTTATTTCTAATCATTTTTGGACAACACAAACCTGAAACTATACAAAACATTGTTACCAGCACAAATCAACAGTTTAAGAATTTTAAGGTAAGTTTTTCCATATGGGATAATTTCACTTAAGACAATTTAGACAAAAAGATTTTGAATATTAGCACAAACTAAATAAATTAGTTGTATACTAAATGGTCTTATTCAACCTTAAATGAAGTTTACAGATTAGTTTTTTTAGGATAACTTAAGAGATGTGCAAAGGAAAAAACTGATAGCAGATGAGAAATATTTGAAAATTCTGGGTTTTACAGAAAACCCAAGAAAATTTCCTGATGATGTTTGGAAAAACACCACTTTACCTGTCATAGTGACATATGTGACCGAAGGTCATCATAGTCAGGCCATAGGACTTATTAACAATGTAGCTAGGGTGTTACCAAATAACACCATTTTAGTTTATAATTTAGGTTTAAGCGATTATAGCCTTAAATCGGTAAGTGATTTGAAAAATTGGTGTAAAATTTTGTAACAATTTTGTTTTCAGTGCTTAAATCATTGTAACAGTAGTAGATGTCAAGTGATGACTTTTGATCTGTCACTTTTTCCTTCCCATGTTAACGATGAAAATTCTAAAGCATTTAGGCCATTAGTTATTCAGGTTAGTTGACACTAAATTATATTTTTTAATTAAATGTATACATATTTATAAAAAGTAAAGTGTGTAGTAATGCCATCAACCTATCCAGCTTATAGGCAAAGCCTATAAAGATTGGTCCTTCAGCGGGACCTCCTGTTTGTGGAATCCAAACCACAGTCCTTGATAAGTCACCCCTGCCAACCTGGTACCGTCGGACGCAGTTTGTCTCGGCTTAGTAGCTTCACCCACCGTGCTATCCGCGGACCCCTACTGTAGGGGTCCGCGGATAGCGCGGTGGGGCCCTACATATTTATAATTCCCAATTATTGCATTAATTATACCTAATTACCGGCTGAAGGACCCCAGTCAATGGCCATTTGTAAGAAATTGTATTAACTTTTTTTTGCAATAAAGTTCATTTATTATTATTATTATACCTAATTATTTTTGCAAAATAGTTAACTTTTTAAAAGTAGCCATTATAATTTAATAATTGTAGTAATTATTTTAAATGAATTATTTATTTATTTTTTGCATATACATTAATTAAATTATCAAATTGTGTTTTTATTAAACAGAGCTTTTTTTACACTTAATGTATTTTTCTGCTTAAAAAGTGGCCTATTTTGTGTTATTTATTTTATGTCTAGGTAAACTAAGATTAGATCTTATCTTATATTTTAAAAATCAATTATACTAAACAAAATTTAAAACATTTAATTTAAATTTATTATTTCTTTAAATGTATCTACGTTTTTCTATTGCCTCAGAAAGATTATCAAACATTGCAGTTATGGTAACATATATTATAATAATTATCATAACTAATTGATTACATAGCAATACAAAAATATAAAAATATCTTGATTTGGGGAGTAGATGCATATGGGGCCAAATTGGCCGCGAAAAACGAACATGTCTCCGATTTGCTTCATATTTAGAAAAACAAATTCAATAAAAAAAAATTGTTTTAAGAAAACGCCATTTTTTTAAAATCTGAAAAAAATGTTCCTATAGACCTAACATTTGCGCAATATTAATTTTTTTTCTCACTTGAAAACTTCCGAAAGTTATTAATTTTTTTCTTTACAAAAGCGAGTTCAATCGCGCCACTGCACAGTGTGTGAAATTAATTATCTAGCTAGACAAAACCTAAATGACATAAAATTTTCTCTGAAAACGCGGAATTTGGGTTCACTGAATCCAAATCTGACATCCAAAATGCAGAAATTAAATTCGTTCATTACAAAATGGCCGGCGCCTTGCAATAAAAAATAAACTTTCGGTTTCGTCGGAAATTGGTCAACTTTCATGTTTTCAAAGAAACACCCTGTATATTTTTGTATATTTGAAATCTGGAGAAAATTTTGAATACGATAGATGCACATTCGCTACCATTTTGCAATTGACCTTAAATTTTTGTCCAGTTTTATTTTTTAATCCAGAAAGCTGCAATTTGGAGAATCAACTATTTTTACCATCCAAATTTGCAAATAAATGCATAAATAGTAAATGTTGCTGATCAATTTTTTTTTTTATTTAACTCAACTTTTTTAAATACCATACAAATGTTTTTAAACATCCATATGTTTTTCCCAATCAAAACCCACCAATGTCATAAAAAGTTGTTGTGTTTTCCACTAAAATTACACTTATGGAAAACTTAAATTACAACAAAAATTCAGATCATTTTAAAAATCCCGCGATAGTGTAAGTATTGAATTCAAAATTTTCTCCTGATTTGAAATATACAAAAATATGCAGAGTATTTCATTGAGAAAACGAAAGTTGGTATTATTTCCGGGGAAACCGGATACCGGGTGGTATCCATTGAAGGTTGAAATAATTATAAATTATTATCTTTATTATTACTCCCAAATTTCAACTCTATTCCAAAATTTACTAGTGGAGAAGGAATGTGTCGGTTTTTGGTTACACCCTGTAGAACAGGCAAATTAGGGCAATAAATAAAGGCACATCAGTAATCTGTAGACGTTATAAAACAAAACAAATATTGATAGTGCACCCGATATTGCTCGATTACAATACTTCTTGCTTAATAAATATTGTCCATATTTAATAACACCAAGTGAATTTCTATATCTATAGCCTCTTGCTGATTATTGATATTATAAACCCCTAATAATAAAAAAATAAGTAATATATACCTAGATCCATAGCTGCACAGTTCAACATTTGATTTAACTTGACACAATGTCAAAATCAAACCACCTTTTTGCAACGCATACACGGCTAAGTATGTTTATAAAAAATGATACGCCCGGAACTGGCGCCTGCATAGTGCTAAATACACTGTTGTAGTACGTCCTAAGTAATGGAAATCATAACAGGGAGAACTGAAGAAGCTTATTTAATAAAATTTGTCTTTATTTCAGGTTGTTTTTAAATTAGGTTTTTTCTAGATAGATAATTAATTTAACACATTGTGCACTGATCGACGGCAATTTTCACTTTCCAAATTGCCACCAAAAAATTAAATTCTTGATGACCGTTAATAACTAAACTAACTAACTTTTTTCTTATGTTTTTTACGAAAAAAAAAATTCTTTTTAAAAATTAGAAAAACATAAAAATTCTTCAAGAGCGTTTAAAAAAAACTGACGTGTAGTGACTATTAGTCTAATTAACTGATTTATTAGGGGTTTATAGAGAACTAAAAGAAACATAAATCCAAAATTGTGGTTGCAGCTACTACAGCCCTATAATAGCGCGATGCTATTTTTCTAAAATATTTTCAATTCGCAGTCACTTCCGGTTGAACCGGAAGTGACAGTAACTTTATTTTTAAATGAAACTATGTATATTATTGCATTTTTAAATCATAACTTAAATTCTGGAGCTATTGCATCAAAAGTCATCCGCTGTCTATGACGTCAGCCGGGATTGGTACGGATCCCGGAGCCGGGAGAATAGTCAAAGCGATACTAATAACAATTCTTAAAAGTTTTTTACAGACTAGGATGTAAAAAACTTTACCTGATTGGTTTAAATTATTTTAACAGCCTAGTAGGTAATACTTTGGTAGTGAGCGTTGACAATAATAAAGCTTAAATTATGGAACGCTTGAAGATAAATAAATGTATTACCTTAAAAAGCGAATTTTGAGTTATCATCAATAAAGATATTTTACCTGTAAAAAGTTACGGGTGCAAGGTTATTCCAGGAGTGCGTTCGAAATGAGATTGTACTTTGGATATGGTATAAGGATAGGTATATAATCACGTGACTTTACATTATACCTAACCTTGTTATTTTCGAACGCCGCGGAGCATATACCTATAAACTTTATGTTGTAGTGTTCTAAAATCAATCGGTTTTGCTTGTTATTTGACTGAATACATATTAAATTATTGAATTTCAACCCTTTAGTTATATAGATTATTCAAGTTTTTGTGATGGACTTTGTTTTGTTTTTTTGAATTGAAATTTTTTAAATAATTTATTATAAAAAATTCTTTTATTTTAATGTTTTTCGGTTTTGTTTTATTGAATTTTAAACAGTTATAAATAAATTATATGAAGTTAAATATAAATTATTGTTTGATGTACCCTATGCGCATGATGGGTAAAACAACCAAGTCTAAAGCTTGGACAACCGAGAGTGCCCTCTGGGCATATACTTGCTGTTTTCGAACAGCTGACAGTTGCATGTATCTAGGTATATACCAGAGAATTCGAACGCGCAAGGTAAACTTGGTGTGTATCCAGAGTGCACTCTTGCGAGTTTTCGAACGTGCTCCAGGCTTAAAACTAATTCATTTCCCCCCAAAATTTGAATAATCATTTGTATAAGTTTAACGTGACATCACGTAGGTAGTTAATTAACCCCCTTACAATACAAATCATTTTTTATATAAATTTGCAAATGTCAATCAAGTCTGCGGTAGAGGTAAGCGATATTTCGATATCGGTGGTTTAAAAGTTAACGGTATTACCGCACTGCTAGTCGGAAAGCAACGTTAACCGAAGTCACCGGTGCAGAAATTATCGCGGTCCCTGATTTCCAGATACCATTTGTGATCTCCTTGTGAAATCACATAAACATCATCAAGTGAATCACATGGGGAGGGGCGAGTCTAGGCGTTCCTATTGAAACGAACGTTAAATGTTGATATTTATTTATTGTACTAATATTTCTTGATTTTGTAATTTTGTACCCTTTCCTTTTTTTCTTCTTTTTTTTTGTTTTTTTATTTTTCATTCAAATATACCATTTCGATAGGTACTTGTTATTTTTCAATTTTTTTTTTTATAAATTGTTTTATATTTTATTTATGACTTCCGCTGCTAATTATATCGCGATTTTATTTCGGTTGATAAATCTTAGAATTAGATCGGTAATTGTTTTATTTGTCTTTTGTAAGACAGTGGCCATATTGAAGGGCCTTTCAATTCCCGCTTTGTGCAGTTGCAAGTACAGATCCGGGTTTCCCCCCGCGTTAATTGGACATCCCAGAAATATGTGGCCCAAGTCCCCATATTCCCCACATTCACAAAAAGGGTCATATCTTACCCCCACCCTGTATAGGTGAGAGAATGATTGGCAATGCCCGGTTCGCATTCTTATAATGGCTGTTAAATGTCTGCGATTAGTAAAATTAAATTTTTTAATGATTGGTACCTCTGGGAACCCAGCTTGTACCTTCGCGTAAAATTTACCCTTTGACTTAAATATTTCTCTCCATTTAATTTCCCATTTATATTTAATATCCCGTTTAATAATGGGAGGAACTCATATGTTAGTTTCTACTGGGTTGTTGCGGGTAGACCGACCCTAGTTTGCAATTTGGTCCACGATCTCGTTACCCTTAATTCCATTGTGCCCTGGGATCCAGGCCAACCTGAACCCAGCCTCATCGAACAATAACTTTTTGGTAGCTAAGCTGAAGGTGTCGCATTTAGCGTTCTAGCTATAGTTTGTAAGTTTGGAGATGGCGCTAAGGGAGTCGGACAGAATAAAGCATCTCTCCGCCCCCCTCAGCACCACCTCCTTCGCCGCTTTTTTCACCGCAGCAATCTCCGCCGTGCAGATTTGAATACCGTCCGGCAGCCTGGCTGCAAATCTTATATTCAAATCTGGACTATATACTCCAAAACCCGCTCTGTTTCTGGATTGGGACGCATCAGTATATACTAAGGAGTGTGTATGTCTTATACGGTTAATTTTAGAAGACTCTGACCTCTCGGTAGACCTCCACCAGGCACAAGGTTTTGCTGACGTGAGGATTGTTATCTAATAGGCGACTTATTCTATCCAGGATATTGAGCAGTGGATGAGACGCGTAACCAGCCAATTTAATAGTGAATTTAGACGCTAGCCACCTTTTACGATATAACAAAGGCAACTCGGAACACTCCGCCAGAAGCGCATTTGTGGGGGTCGACCTCATACATCCAGTGATAATTCTCAATGCTTGGTATTGAGCTTTATCAAGTTTGCATAGTTGTGCTTTATTAGCGTAAGATTTTAAAATGCTACCAAAATCAAGATGGGATTTAACTAGGCCGTTGTAAGCCATGAGGAGTGTAGCTGGGTCTGCTCCTCACAAGACTCTGGCGAAGGCTCGGAGGCTTTGAGCTTTATTTAATGTCTGATTAATATGGTGGTTCCATTTAAGGTGACTATCAAAAGTTACTCCCAGGTACCTTACTTTATTTTTTAACATGATATTTTGGTTATTTATCTTAATTGCCGGGGGTGTGGTTCTTTTGGGTCCCTTTGAGAACCAAATAGCCTCGCATTTTTCAGTCGATAGTGTTAGTTTGTGTCTGGTAAGCCACTTATGTATATTGTCCAATACCCTATTTATCTTGTCTGTCATAATGATGATATCACTTCCCCTAACCGAAACCAGGAGGTCATCTGCAAAAGCTAGGAGTCTGACATCCCCTTTCACGCAATTAAAAATTGATTTCAAATAAATATTAAAAAGAAGAGGGCTCACGGGTGATCCTTGTCTCAGACCATAATTGATACGTTCATTGATATTTCCCTGTTTATCCCTCACTGAAATAATCCTATTGGTTATAATGTTGTAAATTAGGATGCTGTAATGTAATGGAATTTTTAGTTCCTTGCAGTAATTGTACAGAATTGACGGATCGACATTATCATAAGCGGCCTTGATGTCCAGCAGGACCGCTAGGACTGATTGGTTCTTAGCGAATGCCAAGTGGACTTGGGAGCTAAGAACGGCCGTATTATTGAGTGTTCCCACGTTTTTCCTGAAGCAGGTTTAAAAAGGGCTAAAAGTTTTTTTGTTTTCTAGAAACCATTCTATTTTGATTTTAATAAGACCTTCCAGGAGCCTTAGAGGTACTGGGGCAAGGATTATAGGTCTGTAGTTGTTATAATTGTTAGCTGTTTTATTGCGTTTGAGTATAGGCAATACCACGAGATCCAGCCATTTATCTGGGACTTTTTGTTTCGAGATACAGTCATTAAATATATTAACCAGGTTTGATAACGCCGTTTCTGCAAGGTTTTTGATCATGGAGAACGAGATCTCATCTCTGCCGGGCGCTGTGTCTTTCTTTTTGTTATGGAGAATCATTTTTAGTTCATTAATAGTGACCCTAGCAGGATTTTCATTTGTTAGTGTTATGTTAAAGTCTGGGTTCAGATTAATGCGGGCTATATTAGTTATTATCTTGAGACTTGGAGTATTCATTATCTGAATCCAGGTCCATATCTAGAATTGTATCGTTTGGTTTAAAATTATTGAGTGCTTTAATGATTTAGTTTTGTTCTTGTCTGAGAATCTTTGGAAAAGGTTAAAGGATGTTTCCAACTTGTCAAATTCAGTGGGAAAATTGATCTGCATGTCCTTATTAGACTTGGGATCACCTATGGAGTCGCCATTCGGGGAGTTTTGGCTCGGGTTGGAGCTTGACCCTTGGGTTGAGGTCATAGGGGTGGCGGAGGGTATGTACCTATAGAGGCACTCCTCATGCGCTTTTTTATCATAACCTGCTGGTATAGTATGTCTACTTCTTTTGGTAGGGGAGATGGTATGAGAGTATTGTCTTTTTGGGCCTCTATTTTCTTTATTTACGGTTTGTCTTTGGGAGATTTTTACTAAGTTATCTTTATGTTTTTAAGTGTGTTGGGGAAGTCATTAGGTTGTGGGTTGTACTGGGGTTTAGATAGCGCCTGTTGGGCTTCAAAGTATGATATGTTATCGAAAGCCATCATACGTTTGATGGCTTGTTGCCTACTGTATTCGGGGCACAATTTGTTGGTGGCCTTATGATCTCCATCACAATGGAGGCATTTGGTCACACAATTGTCGCTTTCGAGGCATGTGTCTCTATTTCTGGCGCAAATATGGCATTTCTTCTTCCCTCTACAATTTTTTTTAGATGCCCATAAAGTAAACATTGGAAACATTGAGTCACCGGTGCTATATACACTGTAACTCTTAGTGGGAAATTGTATATGTATAAATTTCTTGGGATTGTAGTGCCTTCAAAAGTCAAAAGTAAGGTACCCGTGGGTTTAAAAGATATGACTGGCTTTGTCTTACCCTGCTCGTCAATGGTTTCTGTTATTATTTTCCTGTTAAGTCGCCTATCGGGTGTTGGAGTTTCCGTTCATATTTCTGCTGTCTACTAGGGCAGCTCGGCATATTTTAAATAATATTTTAGTTATTAAATCCAACAAATATAACACAAACTTAATAAAATAACCTGGTATAAAACCAAACCCATTGTGAGTGGCTTATACTTTAAAAGACACAATAATTTCGGAAAAAACTTAAAATAAATCGTAGTAAAACACCTGTGAATAGCGTATGGCCAAGCAAAACTGTTTGTAACATTTGAATCTGGTTCGCACGTGACGTCACACGCGCGGAGTTGACGAGTTTTCGTTTCATACCAGCATACCGGTTTTTGTGTATCGTGATAGACAGTAGTCACAGATTTTATTATGTATATTTTGTTAATTCATTCTAGGATGCTTTGAGCCGCACTGGCGCCATCTTCTTCCTCGAATCGAACTACCGAATGGTGCGCTACGTGACCGCGCAGACGATATTCTCTCTCTATAACGAAACCGTGACGGGACGGGGCGTCACTGCTTGGCCCATGCAACTCAAGAACCCCGTCTCCAGCCTGACGCACAAGAAAATGTTCGAGTACTTCCGCACGGACGTCGAAAACTTCCAGTTCCTGCAAATGGTCGAGGCGGACTACTTGATTCTCGTCAACAAGCCGACCGTGCGTGCCGACCTAATGTTGCCGTGGGTGCAGTGCGCGCTAACTTCCGACTGCATTGTACCCATAGGCGCGCAATCCGCCGGCTGCAAGTTTGACAAGAGGCCTTTGTACAGGTATAATTCGCGCAGCGTTATATTGGTAAAATATATAAATATTAGGATTGAAAAGGGCCATTGCAAGACCTTATCCCGACAGACTTTTATCAAAATTAATATGTTTATTAAAACACAATACAACATAATTTGCCCAGTGTTTCTGAACTTTTTCTGGCTGTCCAAAAAATAGATTATTATTACAAGGGAAAAATATACAAATATTAGGGCTGAAAGGGGCCATTGCGTGACCTTATTACCACAGCCTTTTATCAGAATTAATATGTTTATTAAAACACAACATAACATAATTCGCCCAGCGTTTCTGAACTTTTTCTGGCTGTCAAAAATTACATTATTATTATATTGGTAAAATATACAAATATTAGGATTGAAAAGGGCCATAGCAAGACCTTATCATGAGCCTTTTATCAAAATTAATATGTTTATTAAAACACAACCAGAGTTGCACAAAACGCATTTTTTTTTAATGCAATGATATTTCATTGCTCATTTTTTATCATAATGAGTAATAAGAAAACAACAATTAACAAGAAAATTCTTAAAACCAAGAGGGAGTATATGGAAAAAATGCAATATCCAATGCAAATCGTGCGAAAAATAAAAAACTAATGTTATCTACAACAAAAAATAATTTCCGTACCTGTTAAAAATGACCAACGAAATACTCATTTTTCCCCATTACAAAAAAAATGAGTAATGAAATTAATTTACATTACTCTTTTTTTTTCGGTTAATGGAGAATTACTTGTACATTTCTCATTTTTAATGAGCAATGTAAGCATTTACATTACATTTTTTATTTTAATGAGTAATGTGGATTTATTTCATTACTCATTTTTTTTGTAATGGGGAAAAATGAGTATTTTGTTGCTCATTTTTAACCGGTACGGAAATTATTTTTTCTTGTAGATAACATTTGTTTTTTATTTTTCGCACGATTTGCATTGGATATTGCATTTTTTTCCATATACTCCCTCTTGGTTTTAAGAATTTTCTTGTTTGAATTCAAAAGGACGTATGTAAAAAAAAATTTTACTTTCCATATTTTTAGTAAATTTTTACATTCCTAAGTTGATTGGAGAAAAAAACTTTTCGTCATGCGCTGTTTTGGTTCTGCAGAGCCAAAAGGGCCTATAATTAGCGATACGCCCTTTTGGTATTGGGAAAGCGGCTCAGATTTTTTTTCGATTCTTATAGGCTTGTAGATCATTAATCGTTAATCTTTAATGACAGGTTCTTATACACCCTTATGATTTTTGAGATAGGGGCTGTATACAATTGGTGTCCTTGAATTCAAGTATTATTATTATTTGAATAACAATCAAAAAGTCGTAGTACACTGTGAAAAAAATTGTGGAGTAAATGCGGAGTGGATTATTTTCAATTGATTCACTCTAACCAGGATTAAAATATACCCAGAGAAAGATTTATTCGATATTATTAATAGAATTCAATCTGCAGAGTGAATTATTTATTCATTGAATAAAGATAAAAAATATTTTTTAATGGTTTAAAATTATAAAATGCATATTTAGAAATTTTTTTAATTAAATTTGACATAACTTTTTTGAATTTTTGTCATAATTTGAATTTTTATGAAAATTTGAATTTTTTTTAATTTCCCCTTTTTTTAATTTTTTGAAAGTTTAAATCTTATTTATTCGATTTTTTTGAAAATTTTAATCATTTTAAAAATGTGGATTTTTTTTGAAAATCTTAATTATTTTGGAAAATTTTAATTTTTTTTTGAATTTTGAATTATTGTCAAATTTTGAATTTTTTTTATATCGACAAAAAAAGTTTTTCCAAAATTTGATTTTTTTATGCTGACGAAAAAAAAATTTAATGGGTCATTACCCATTACACATTTTTTTTGATGAGTAATGTAAGATGTTCCATTACTATGGCACGCCGTTTTACTTTTTAATGACATCAAAAAATTAACTCAAAACAAAAATTATCAAAATTAAAAATTGCCTAGAAAATATAAACGTTCATAAAAATTACTAAATTAAATTTAATTATAAATTAAAATCTACCAATTTATTTTTTGGTGTATTGGATAAGTTTCCATATATATTTACATCATTCTGGTGTGATCTATATTTTTAAGCCTCAGTTTTTATTGTATGAATATTTTTTTTTCTATTTAAAAGAGGTGCTTATATGTAAATAATAATATTTCATTTATTAATTTAAAATTAAGTTAAAGTAGAATATTTATTTTGGAATAAAAATTAGACAAGATTTAAATCTGTAAGCGCAAGGCGAATTTTCTCGATGAAAAATTCGATGAATTAAAATGTTGTTTAACACTCGTAAACAGAATTTTAATTTGGCGCTAGTGCATAGTGCGGTTGTGTTACGTACTACTGCCACGAAGCGAAAATTAGGCAACAGTGCAGTCCAAAATTTTCAGTGCTATCAATAATGTAATACATTAAATCATTTAATTTAAATGTATATCGACATGATAATGATTATTAAATTATGTAAGGGGTGCATTTCAACAAGACTGCCCTGCTGGCTAACCTCACTTTATACGAAATAATTTAGATATGGACTCTCCTAATAGACAATTTAATTGTGGTTCATTATTTGCTTAGTTGTCTATGCAATAGGATTTCTCGCAGAAGAAGATATTTATATAATTACCAGAATTGTCCTACTCGTTACGTGTCTGAGCCGACTACCTGTACAGTATAAATAATCCACAAACTTTATGAATGTAATTAATGCCATTTTCAATCTACCATTAATTTAATGGTAGATTGAAAATATTCCATTGTTGTTTATCTTTTAGTCAATAAAAACCAATATTTTAGTCAAACAGATTTTCTTTATTTTTATTTCAAAAAATTAATAAATTAGATAAGAAATTAAGGAAAGCAAAACAGGTAAGTAAATAAAATGACAGCACTGAATTTGAATGCACCGTTGCCTAATTTATTTACCTTCGCTTGGTGGCAGTAGTACGTAACACAACCGCAATATGCACTAGCGCCAAATTAAAATTCTGTTTACGAGTGATAACCAACATTTTAATTCATCGAATTTTTCAGTAAGAAAATTCGAGGTACATAATATTTATTCCAAAAAATAAAAACAAGGAATTATTATCCTGTCACATACAAATAGCATTGAATTTATTATCTAAAAAAATAATCGGATTAAAAGAAAGATTCTTAAATGAAAATTCGTATTGCTAGATTTAAATAACATAATAATTAATATCAACTATACCACAACTTTATTCCCGTATAAAAATTGTTTCAAAGAGTTTTAAACAACAAAATAATTCGTATTAAAAGTAAATATTAAAATTTTTAAAAATAACAATAAAAATAAAATTGTATTCAATTCTTATTAGTCAAATAAAATTTTAAGTAATATTATAAACATTTAAATATTAAAACAAATATTTCGTGCAAAATATTTGTGTGTCGAATAAGAAACTTTATCACTTTAATTTCTAACAGGTAAATTGATTTTTATGTCGACGAGTAATAATAGAAATTAATTGCGACAAAATGATAATTTCAGTATTACTTTTTCTTAAATAAATGTTGCGCACCTTGAATTAATTGGCTAAGAAATTCGATGAATTAAAATTTTGGTTTACAAAATTTCAATTTGACTGCCTGTTTCTCCAAGTAGCGCCTTATTAAAATTATCTCAACCAAAATTTTAATTCATCGAATTTTTTAGTCAGAAAATACGCCATTCAGTTCTAGAATTAAAATTACTTTAATTCTTATTCTGTGCTTAAAATTGTGTACTCAATATACCAAGACATCATAAAAATTTTACTTTAAAATGTTCAGTCAATTTTTAAAAAAGCAACTTGAATTAATATTTAGCTTTAATAAACATGACATTAAAAAGTAAAACGGCGTGCCATACATTACTTATTGCAAACTTTTTAATGAGTAATGTATTGCTACACTACTCATTGAATTGTTTAATGAGAATTGAAAATGTTTTACATTAATTTTTTTTTATGGGAAATGGATTAGAATTACATTTTATTAAAAAAAAATGACGAATGCATTATTTTGTACATTAGGATTTTTGCAACACTGTACACAACATAATTCGCCCAGTGTTTCTGAACTTTTTCTGACTGTCCAAAAAATAGATTATTATTACAATGGTAAAATATACAAATAAAAGAGCCATTGCAAGACCTTATCATGACAACCTTTTATCAAAATTAATGTTTATTAAAACATTCCTGTAAAGGCCCAGTACAAGAAAAGCTTTGGCTTAAATTAAGACATGGAACTCTGTAAAGGGCCATTACATAATCAGACTTTTGTTTGCTGGGTTCGGGCCGCCAATTTTGGGACAACCTGTATACTAGTAATGCCAGATGAGTAAAAATTAAATCCCTGTTTGATGAGATAATAATAATAATTTCCTATTGCTATTTTGATCTTTACTAGTAATTTTCCTATGTTCTTCTGATGCATAAAACATAGGCACACTTGTTAAAATATAAAAATATTTTAATTTGTAATAAAAAACATAATTTCAAAACAACTATGAGTATAAAAATAAAAGTTATAATTATTAAATTAAAAACGTACATATCGTACAGCAACCACGTACAAGTGCCTAAGAATATAATTTAAAAGATTTTTCATAGCGCCTCTATTGAAAATCCTCTAGAGCGAGTTAAAACTCAGAGTTTAGCCTAACATTATTATGACAAATACGCTAAAGAAGTATCGCTAGTAGCGCCACCACTCGGCTATTATCATCGTAACAAAAGTACAACTTTTTATAATCAGCTGTCAAACGCTTATGTTACAAACGAGTGTTTTTAAGAATAAAGCCGGAAAATGTTAAAAAAATATCGGAAAAAAACCGGTTGTTATTGGGTGTATTTCGAGAGGAAATCCTGGGGTGAGTTTTTACCGGTTTTCCAATAAACAGTGTTAATCCGAATAAAGAAATAAATTTCATACAATCCCTGTAAATATAAATTGTATCTATTAGATACAATAAATACATATTTTACGTGAAAAGTGTAAACATTTCAATTCAGTAAAAATCGTCAAACAAATAAGTCGTCTAAATTTAAACAGCATTTAGCATTATTAAAAGCGTTGATTAAGAAAGTCTCCACTCAACGGTAAAATACCATCATATTGTGAGTATGAGTATGAGTATTAGGACGTATGGCAGGCCCCATCGGCAATGCCTTATACTGATCTTCCAGGGTTATTTTACCCCCTTTCGGTTCTCATACGTATCCCGCCACTGCACAGCGTTACCTGTGTGGTGGATCCGAATTTTCTCCCCGGCAGGTAAATCTTCCCCAGGAGATCGTGGATGACAGTGTCGATGGTTAAGGCCACTCCCGGATTTTTGTCGCCGGGTCGGACCATACGCCAGATTTAGGCCAGTGGACTGTAGGACAAGTAGGGTCAATATGGTTTTTGGGGGCCTTGAACTGACCCAAAACTAAGTACAATCCGGACTCCCCCTCAACCTGGGTTTTAGTAACAACCCCATTCATTTGGGCTTAATGAATGGGGACTTGATTGGTTAATATGCTGCTAGGATATATCCTTGCTGGTTTTGAAGTACTTCCTGTGCGTTTATGTCCTCTTTGTCCGGGTCATATTCCCAGCTTGTTGATTATCTATAGCGTTGCTCCCATATAAATAATACTATTTTTAGTAGTATCTTTTCTATGTTTGCAGAAAGGCACTTTATTTTAACGATTGTATGACATTTGACAACTGCCAACTAACTTAAAACTAACTTCAGCCCGTGACTAAAAACCGGTTGCTAACTTCAGCCCGTGACTAAAGCGCCGTAAAGCCACAACTTGTCAATGTGTATTTAAAAGGTCACTTAGTGTCATGGAAACATGTACTATAAAAGGCGTTTTAAAGGTGGGAGTAGAAAAAATTGTTTATATTGCATCAGTGCAGAACTCTTAGAAATACACGCGTTACCTTTGGAATGATGATCCTTGGTTAACTACAGGTCGATTTTTTATTTTTTTTATCGGTAATCCCATGCAATCGCTATATGTCGCTGCTAGCATGTCTAATAAAAATAAAATAAAATATTGAGTTAATTTTAAACGAAAAATACACTTTGAGACAAAGTTACCCGCACCAGGGGTAACTTTGCACACCCAGTTTTTAATTTTTATTTTTTAAACTCACCCCTACGTAACATTATAACATAGTTATTATGAAAGGGCAACTCAAGACTCAAATTTTGGTATACAATATTTAATGTTTATGATTGTTAAAACCACAAAAATTTTAAGCTTAAGTTTGAAAGTGAGCTAAAGCCACCCGTTTTTACGGTAACTGTATAGCATAGGTATAAGCATTTAAGCGTTTCTTAATCAATGATATAGAGAATAATCAATCAAAATCGAGTACAAAAAAAGTTTTTTAATTTTTTCCTTGCAACGTAAAACACAAATAACGTGCGCGATTTAGCTGTGCAATTAAACAAAATTTGTCGAGTAAGACTTCTGCCTTCCTCTCTTTTCTGAAAAAACTACCTATTTATTTAAAAACTATGTACAGTTCGTTTCCTTTAAATGTATTGTTGACAATTCTTAAATTCACGCAATGCTATCGAAGTCCACCAGATGGCGCGCGCGTTGCAAAAACCCGATACTTCTTTAGCATATAATGCGTGTACCTCAAATCCAATTTTAACACGTTCATGGACAGGACTGCAAATGCCGTCGGGCCCAATATGACACGACGGCTATAGCAGTCGCAATTTTCTAGCTGATTTATGACAAGCCTGTGTAAGTGACGCAGCAGGTCCCGCCAAAAATTTGTCTGTGTCCATCAACGTGTTAATAAAGTTGGTATAAAAAATAATATGACTCGGAATTAGACGTCTGCGCTGCCGATAAAATTTATTAAACTGAACAGTAAAGGTGTGAGTCTCACACAAATTAAACTACAAAAAACTGTACAATTGACCAAAAATCTGAAGTTGAAGCTGATAAGTAAGTCCGATACTTAACGTCGCGTTGCTATTTTCACGTGATTTCGCTTATTCTTTTGAAAATTTTGCCAATCGCCGTTATTCGCGATATTTAATTTAGGCAACTGTTGCAATATTTTACCCATCATTATGTATTGACAATTATCTTTGTTTTGTAGGTACTCTGGTTGCCACAGCTACGACGTATCGGCGATGAACATCGCTTTGGGACTTAAGTACCGACTTGAGGAGTATTCTTATAACGAGCCTGACGACTTATTTGAGGCTGTATCGCTTAGCAAAGCTAACGCGGAACTAAAAATTCTTGAGCTAAATTCAACGACGGACGGGCGAACCGTACAAACAGAAATGCTGTGAAAATTAGGACCAAATAATTGTGTGATATCAGTATTTTAGAATGTATGTAAAATACTAAAAAAACCTAAACGTCTGCACCTAACAAGTAATAACGCTTTTTTCCCGCTTTTTCCTGTTGTGATGGGTGCAGAACCATGATCAAAGATGACATTTTGTGATTTTGTGATATATTGTAAATAAGTACTGGTGTTTTGTGTGATAGTATGAGTGCATGCCGTTTTTGTATAGAATGTTTTCATTTTATTTATTTTAAACACATCATTAATAATGCATTATTACAGCTAAATAAATCACAGGAAATTAAAGATTTTCTCCATTCTATAAAATAGAATGGATTGCTTATTATTTGAATGCGTAATTTGTCATTTTAAACTGTCAAATCAATAAATAAACAATTTAAAATATCTATAGATATTGTCATATTTATTTCTAATACTTTTAACGCAATGTCCTATGGTCGCAGGAACAATTTTTTGATATCTTAGACCCTATAGCACTGGAGGCGTAATGTGTGTCAAAATCATCGCGTTTGTTGTGAAATCTAAGAAAAAGTGTCAACTTAGCACTTAAGTATTGATAAAATAAAAGATAAATGTACTATCGCTAACAAAAAAAAACTCATACAGCTATATTTTGGCAGTGTAAATAAAACTTCTCTGTCAATGTCAAGGTGACATCGAGCTTTGTCAAATCCATTAGTCATGCTTCGTTTAACTGTAGCCAAAAAACATACAATTATTGTTCATCTGGAACAAGGTTCTTCAGTAAGACAAGTGGCGATGATGTTTAATATTGACAAAATTACGGTAATGGCGATAAAGCCGCAATGGACGGAACAAGGAAACTTCGTGAGAAGAGCTGGATCCGGAAGGCCAAGAGTCTCGACAGACGCCCAAGACCTTTCAGTACGGCGCGGAAAATGATTGATGATACTGTGTTTCCGGCTGCTCGATGACTGCGAGTCGTAGAATCAAAGAGTCAGAACTGCACTGCAGGGTGGCTGCCAGGAAGATTTATGGACGCAGAATCGTCTGCAGTTCTCCTTAAATCATATTTATCGAGAATTTGACTTCTGGGAAACGGTGATTTTTACCGATGAAAAGACATTCCAATCAAGCCCTAATGGCCCAATAAAAGTATACCGACCGGCCAATACAAAATTTGATGAGGAATACCTGAAACGAACAAATTCCTATAGACTTTTTCGTCAATGTTTGGGGGAGGATTAGTGCTCGAGGCATGGGTGTCTGCTGCAGGATCCGAGGAAGATTCAATGCAGTGAATTTTGTCAATGTTTTGGAGACCGACATCCTGCCTACTGTGAGAGACCTGTACCCCAAAAACCAATTTATTTTCCAACAGGACAATTGTCAGGGTGTCCTGAAATTAGTGCACCATACTTTAACAGCAGATTGTACGTGCAAAAATAAGAAAAAAAATCCCTATAAACATAGGTCAAGAAATGCCTCTTAAGGGAGCTACAGCCCCCAAAAGGAAAGCCCCTGAAGATGGTTTTTATTTAATATCTCCAAAACCGTTAAAGATATAAAAGTGAAATTTGGGGAATTAATTAAACTTTTTATGACCAATAAGACGTAACAATAACAATTTAAAAATTTTTATGAGGTTTGGGTCAGATTGATAGGAAGTAGGGTTAAAATCACCTTAACTTTTTTGTACGTATCTTCTACCAGAATTTGATGTCAGATTATGAAATTTTAGAGTTTTGCACATAAAAAAGGTCATCTTGTTGAACTTCTATAACATACACCGTTTTCGCATAAAATCGATTTGAAAATTATTTTACATGGCATAAAAATTCACAATTAAATCATAACCATAGAAATGGACTCGCGTGGTCCTTGGAATACGGCTGCCATGTTTAGGAAAAAATAGAATAACTCAAGACAGGTGACAGTTTCATGTAGTAAGTGACAGGGTGTTTCTACTTTTTTATAAATATTAGATAAAAACAATCTTCAGGGGCTCCCTTTTCGGGGGCTGTAGCTCCCTTAGGAGGCATTTCTCGACCTATATGTATAGGGACTTTTTTCTTATTTTTGCACGTAGAATCTGCTGTTAAAGTATGGTGCACTAATTTCGGAACACCCTGTATAACAAAAAGACTTTATTAACGAAATTTTCGACCAATGCAGAACAACTCTGGCAAGCTATTGAAGCCATTTGGAACGAGATAAAGCAAGACGGCGACTTCATAAGTCTTATGACATAAGACCATTCATTACTTTCATGCCTCGTCATTTGCAGGCAGTAATTGACAAAAATGGAGGGATGTATTGAAATATTGAAATACATTTTTTTTAAACTTGACTTTGATTTAATTTTAGACCTTTCAAATGTGAAGTATCATGTTAAAAGCCAACCAAATGAGAGAAAATCATGAATACTAGATTTTTAAGGTGTACCTATAAGTTTTTTTTGTTAGCGATAGTACTATGCTCAATACATCCCACCAGTGTCAGTGTCAAGCTAATTTTGTCTTATTTTCTAAAAATTTTGTAATATAATAGTTGAATTTTTAAGTCATATGACTCATATGAGCCCTACGGCAACAATGTCAAGCAACTGAATCAAATCGAGGGCAAAATCAGTGGTGTATCGTGGAGTTTTATTTGGGGTTCGAAATGTTGTATACGTATGCAGTTCATTATACACGTTTGTGCTTTGGGTTGCGAATCAAAATATGAGAATCGTATTTTGCCTGGCTTAAACCATATTATGATTTGTTTTAACTTAAATCCTTCATTTGAACGTGCAAATTTATTAAAACAGTAACTCTTATATTTTTAAATGAAACGTTGTAATTTATATATATTAAATAATTGTAATTTTAAATTATATAGTTTGCGTTACCCATTCTGCGTGGAGAAAATTAAGGGTACCTATTCTACTACTAAAAAATTCCCTATAATTTGCAAATTTTCAAAATATGTATGTTAATTAATTTGGAAATATTAATATTTGTATAATGCACAATGGTTAAGATATTATTTTATATAATCATTTAGTTGTGGAGATTGCACACACCAATAAGCTCAAATGGAGACAAAAATGGGACGTCTAATTTTTGTTTAATAGTAAAATGCAATATACTCTGAAAAAAATTGGTTTATTTAATAATTTAATGATAAATGCTCTTAACTGCATATGTTAATATTTATATATAAGATATCTTAATCGCTATAGCGATTAAGATATCTTATATATATCATCTTCCGATTCATCGTCGTTGACGTTATACCAATGTGGATTATTATTTCATGACCATGATCATCGTCCAAGATTCTTTCTTTATTGTAGGTACCATTCCTCTATAATTTTTTCAGTGTGTGCTATTTTTGACTTCCATGATTCTGGAGTAACTTTTTGTAATGCCCGTTGCCACATAGTAAGCACTTTATCATTGCCATAGCCATTTTCACCAATATGTTTATTATAATAATCCTTTGCATCGGCCCATACCATTTCAATTGCGTTAAATTGACAATGGTATGGAGGCAATCTTAAAGCTTCATGTCCATTTTCTTGTAGCAATTCATCAACCTTATATCGTATTGATTTTTTATGTTTCTTGGCTAAATTTAAAAGTTCTACTTTGAACATATCATTATTTAATGGTATATTATTTTCTTCCAACCATTCCTTAATTTTGTTTTTAGTCCATAAAACCGTTGGTTGTTTTTCCATTAAGACGCTATGGTAAGACGCGTTGTCCATTATAATTAGAGAAGGTTCCTGTAAATTTGGGATGAATTGTTCTTGCAACCATTTCAAAAAAATTTCTGAGTTTATATCACCATAATAATCCGCCAGTTTGGACCTCGTGGAGTAAACCAATGCGGCATCGCGAATAAAACCTTTTTCATTACCAGCATGCAACACAATGAAACGTTTTCCATCATAACCTTCTGGTTTGCGTACACTTTTTGTGGATGAGTCTTGCCAGGATCTTGTATGGCTTCCTTTAGCAAATATCCAAGTTTCATCTAAATTTAAATACGCAAATTATGGAAAATATTAAAAAATTCAAGTACACCAATGATGACAGGCTGTCAAAGTTTTGTAGACATTTGTGCATTTAGCTATCTTTGTCGATCCCATTATTATAAAAATATAAACATAAAAAACGTATGTTGTGGTATTATTAGACATACGTTTATCTATCGCTATATGCTACGTCCCAGTGGTCCTGCGGCGTGGAAATACAATACGAATGTCTGAGCTATATCCTTACATATGTCACGTGAGGGTCATGTTTAAAAAACCAAACTATACCCACAATCCACATAACAAGGTCTGTTCTATCCACAAAAACCACCTTCTAGTTTTGTGGTTCTATCTCATGCTAAAAATACTAAAAATCACTGCAACACTGCACAGAGTTTAACGGCGGCAATTTTTGTTGTTTACAATTCTTGTGCTTTGGGTTTGTGCTGTTTAATAATTGTTTTAAACGTTGTGTTTCTTACAGAGGCACTTGTAAGCCTCAAATAAGGCCTTTAAGTGCTAAGGGCAACCATATGGTTGAGAGGAGTAAAATATTTTACTCCTCTTTTATAATAAATATACCTTATTCTACCAGGGCTGCCAAATGACAATTTGAAGGTTAATTTGTGGGTTATAATTTAACCTTAAAATTGACATTTGACAGTTTTATGACAGCCCTGAATCAGGGCCCCTGATAGAATAAAGTTTATTTTTACAATAGAGGAGTAAAATGGTTGTTCTTATCACTTTAAGGACTCTTTTAAGGCTTACTATGAGAAACACAACGTTTAAAACGATTATTAATCTGTATAAACAGAGCACAAACCCAAAGCACAAAAATTTTAAACAACGTTTAACGGCGGCCATTAATGTACATTAATGGCCGCCGTTAAACTGTGCAGTGTTGCACTGATTTTTTGTATTTTTAGTATGAGATAGAACAGACCTTGTGTGGATTGTGGTAATACCTATATGTATTTTTTGTGTATAAAGTTTTTAATTTAAACAGTGACTAAAAACAATCCCGTGAACGAACCATAATTCACGTCCATCGTTCTGATTGGTCATGTGATCTAACGGACGTGTCTATTCGAGTAGTAGTAATAGTTATTTATGCACGATGACATTATAATATGACAATTATAACAAAAATTCTTTGACGTAAACGTCTTTTTATAGCCCGCGGGCGTTATTATGACCCAGCGGGCTATAATGAAACGTCAAAAATTAAAAACAACAATGTTACACCATTTGATATATTCGAAGTAAGTTTTTTCGTATAAAGATTTTGATTTTTCCGGCAGCAGGCCGCAATTATTCGCCTTTTCAGCTTCTTCCTCAATTTCATTCATCTTTAAACTTTAAAACTGACTGATGTCAGTTGA